ATACAGAGGATAGATCACAAATTAACGATCCGAACAAAAAAATCAACGACCTTTGAAACCATAAGGAATCTTCCATATGTGTATGTAAACATATCAACAATTTATAGCAATTTTTAATTTGCACCGTATGAATGGGCTCATACATGAGCTCAAAAACACTTGGCCCGAAAAGGGGAGGGGAGAATTCATTTCCGCAATTCTCCGAAAACCATTTGCCAAAGAAAAACGCAAAAATAAACGTATCACCGTCAAAGGAACTCCACCGTGCTCTGAAATGATTGCGCGCCCTAATGTACATTAAAGGACGGGATGGCTGCCAACTTTCTACGGTGTGAGATCAAATCGAAGCCGCCTTCTCGTCGCATATTTCAGGTTGAGTTCGTTCACGTTCTCTTTGTTTTGTTTTCGCTTACATACTAATATCCCTATTTTCAGATGTAGAATGCAAGTTGGGTTATTTCAAAATGCTCGGTCTCAAATGCAACGTGCATTTCGCTTGTCTACGGATGTGAACACTTTTTACACTGCTTGCATCCTGCTACTTCACTGCTCTTCAGCTTTTTTCGTGGCGGCAATCACTCCGTTCATTGTGAGGTTGGTATTTTCAACTTTCTTAACCAAGAATTTCATTCAGCTAATCATTATCTCCTGACCATTTCACTACACTATAATATTAAAGACAAATTAGCGATGAAAGTTTGGTCCCACGAAGGAAGATGGGTAGTGGAGTGGGTAGTACACACTATGAAGCAAGAAATGCCGAGTTATGAACAAAACTTTCGCCCCAGGCGAGACTCGAACCCGCACCCCTCGCTTTCTGGGAAGTGCGGTACATACGCATAACACAACATTGTGAAACATTCACGCAGCAGTTAACAAACAAAAGGATAAAAGGATAAAGCATTTGCCGTTGATCAATCCCTTTTGGGATGCGGCACGCATTCTACTTCCATTTGTACATTCGTAGTGGCGTTTGAATGCGATGTGGCCTATACAATGACTTGCGGGGGCCAGCCGATGTACAAGTCAGTGTTTTATCCTCCCAGACAAGTCTGGTACCAATTAACCGACCCCGGAGGGATGGAAGGCTTGGTTGGCCCGGGCGACTCACGACCCAGGATTTGATCCCCGGACCGCTCGCGTGGTAAGCGTGCCACTTGCCACTACACCACTTCCGCCCTCCTTTAACATCCTTTGTTAACAAACAAAACAAGGCGAAAATTAGGGTTTACTCCAATGGACTCATGCAGCAGTGCCGGCCCGAGTCAAAAGCAAACTGCACCCTCACTCCAGGGGCCGTATCCTATCCTTCCCTTAGGCTAGGGGAACAAAAAATGCCTTTAAATTTCCTTTGTGTTCCCAACAAAAAAACGTCCCGTGGGACTGCATATTTGTAATTTGTGAGGTAGTATTGGGTTGTCTCATAATTCCTGTCGCATTTCTATTCAATTTCAAATTTCTTCCGTCTAAGACCGTTTCATTGCGAAATACGTTAGTATGTTGAAGTATGCTTCAAGAGCCTTAACAGCATGGTTTCGGAAACGCAAGCCCTTAACGGGTTAATCAACTAGGAATAAAAATAGGTCAGTGACTATAATGAATGATTATGCTTTACGATCCTCAAATGAACTCTGTAGCAAGGAGGACAACAGAAAGCACTGGCTAGTGGTCCAATCGCAACGGCAAAGACGAAACGAGCTATGAACTTCAACCTCATACTGGGCCTGCGGTCATTTTTGATGAGCGCCCCTTGCACCCTAAATTGGGAGTGCCTCCGCACGTTGCTACCAGGGTATTGTAGCAGATACCTGAGCGCAGCCGATGCACCAGCACACGCCATCAGTATGGCAAGGACTGCTGCAGAATGAAGTTTTGATGGAAACCTTATGGTCCGGCCGACCATGAGCGGGAAGCACGCCTGACCATCTGGGGAAAATCCATTCTGGGACGGCAAGCAGAGCCTTCCCTAATCGGTCTTCATTGGAAATATGTGTGTCAAAGCAAACGAGTGAGGAAAGTAAAGGAAGTGAGTTTCTGGGGACGAATAAATTCGAAGAGCTCTTTTGTTCCGCTTGCCTGGGGGAAGAATAGGATATGGCCCAGTCGATGTCGCAGTCTTCATGGTCAAAAATAGGGATGCACAGTTTTGAAAAGCCATCCTCGGCCGTACACTTTTGCATACGACCAAAGAGCATGAATCATTGAATAAATGGTGAAAAGGTTAAGGAGGTCAATTTTGACCTCATTAATTTTATGAATCATGGAAGCAGATATATGGGTTTCCGGAACGTTTAACTTCTTTTTTGCGCTGAGCAGTCCTTCGTTCGTGCATCATCGAAGCGCATAAGCTGTAATTCCACTGAAGGCAATCATACTAGGAATCTTGCGGCTTTTCCTTTGTTACGACGCAATGCAAATACTGGCGATGTCTCATTTGCCACATTTTATAGGGTGATTCCTTTGCCATAATCTTTTCTTTATTATTCACAATTTTGCCACTCCCAGGCAGTGTTGAGGTGTCATTCCCTGGCGCATTCTTTTCGCCTTACGCACTGTGAGATCATCAGCTCCTGTAGTTATTGCAATCATGACCTTACCTTTGAGTAATAAATCAACACTGATTTGGGCCCTTTGCCCTCCCCTTTAGCTGCCATGAGAGTCCCATGTGCAATATTTATACAGCAGTTGGAGTGCTACTTTAATCATAACGAAACCTTGATACTGAAAGGTCTTCGGTCTTGTCTTTTTTCCCTAAAATGTTCCTTATGTTATAGATGTCTTTTAAGAAGAAGCAGGCTCTCGTTCATTGCCGTCACAGTCTTTAGAATATGAAGTCATCTTTCGTTCCCATCGTGCCTACCGTAATTGCCCCAGCTTGCAGCTGCCACCTGAATTCTTCAATCGATTCGCTACTGTACAGATTCATAGACAGTAGTCTAAGTGTGTAAGCCCCCCCCCCCTACTGATTAGCATTTCGCACAGCGTCAATGGTCCACGATCCGCAAAGGCTCTCGTTGAGGTCAATCCTTGCACTATGTCACCGAGGCAGATTCTTTTCTGGTCGTGTAAGAGGCTAGTGTGAAGTCTTTTAATAAATTCGAGAGTGGTCTTCAATATTCAGTTCATATTCAGAGCATGGAATCCAACTCGGCAAAGTGTGATTGAATCAGACTTAAATGTGAAGGGAGAAGGTATTATCTGCATTACCTACCCCTGTATCAGGATGCAGTCTTTATCGTACAAGGGCAGCGGTCAACTGGGCTTGGTGATTCAGCGTTTTGTAGTGTTGTGTTGTAGTGCATATGCACACTACAGCGTCTCTGCTTTCTTTCCTTCCTTCAAAAGGCTTAGTCCTAGGGTAGCAGAAAGTATGTGCTTTTCTGTCTGGACTCTCACGCGCTGGTTGACCGCTGCCCCGTAACCAGTCTTTATGGAACATGACCACTTTGGCGGCAACTCTTGTAGAAATCGCAGAAAGGTCACGGTTATGATAAAAGTGAGCACCAGTTGCTGTCTCATAATATGAGGCCTAATTCGGTGAAAGTTGACACGCATTGACGACAGCGCGCATCTTCCTTTTGTGACCGCGTGGGATTTTTTCGACACTCCCTTCGTGGATTCGTGGGGAAGTGCACGGAAAATGAATGACACAAAGTCATATCAGCAAAGTGTAATGCGTAAAAGTTGTCAGGGGTAATACGGTAGAGTCCGATCAAGGGGACCTGCAATCGCGTGACAAGCAAAATCTGTTAACTCTCGCTGCACTGGTCGTCAGAAGTGAAATGCTTTGGTTATCTTTATCGATACACATAGCTTGCCATTCTTGCAGTCCCGTATTTGCTTCTTATTACTTATTCCTACATTTTTTATTCAACAGAAAAAACTGAAAATGAAACAAGTTGTATTTTTCGTGAAGCTTAAAACCTTTACTGATTTGAAACATCTGGTTCTGTGGACTACAATGTTTATATGAAGCAGTGTCCACTAATGTTCCTCAACTGCTCCGCACAAAAACATAAAAGTTGATCAAAATTGCGTGCGCAAAAATAGATGTAATGGGTGCGTGGTGCACGTACGTAGAGCGGTTCCCTGCGACCTCCAAAGTGCATAGCATCACAGCGTCCTCAATGTGCTAGAGTACATAATTTTCCTTGGAGGAGTCACTGTACCATTTGATTGTCGGCACCCTCGTAACTACAATCATTCATTGTTTTGATATGTTTTTGATTATGTGCCAATTACACTCACTCAAGTTTTTTAAGACGATTTGCTTTACCGTCATCTATCCGAAACGAGGTGGAATTGAACCTATCCTTCAACACATGCTTTTCTGAACTTCATGGAATTTGTTCCTTCCCCACGGCAACGGTGGAATTTGAAAAGGTTTGTCTCCACTGAATTGATTCGGCCTGGCCACAATCTTACCCTTTAAATTATATAGAATATTATTCTTCACTCGAGAAATCTCCAAACCTTCGTTAGGATAGGATGGAACTTATCGGTAGGATAACAAGCGGAGCTGTATTAAATGCCGGCGCGAAAGTGTTCATATCTTCGCAAAGAGGGAAGGGGCGACCTCGGAAAAGTAGAAATTGTATTGCTCTTCTTCAATTGAAGACGTCGTCATCAAGCCATTATGTTCGTCTTCATCACTGATCCTGGAATCATCGAGTTTCCGTTCCTAGCGCCAATCCCTCTTGCATTCCAGCAACAATCCAGGAGGGCCGATCTAGGAGTTTCGGTTTCTGTCAGAACACTGCACCCAATTTACGCTTTATGGTCAATTGAAGAAATCATGGGAAACGAACAGGAGCATGACAATGTCAGATCGGTTTAGAGCTGATTTGGTCTTACTTTAGAGCACGGAAGATACAAATTCCTTTTCTACTCTCCTTCTCTCTGACTATAATACGGCGAACTTCCTCCCTCCCGTCCTTCAGACGATTTTGTTTACCCTTTGCGGGCTAGTTTTTCTAGTCGTGTTTCGGTAGCTTGGTTCTCTGTATTCCTTAGAATTCTAGAGCTGTTAATAAGAAAACGTATAATGTCTAAACAAAGTAAAATTTGGTTCTCATTCTTTAGGGTACCCTGTTCTCGCCGTCTGTGCATTACGCTTTATCAGTACGTCTCCAATTTGCGGATATTGAACAAGTACAGAAACTAGGCATGTTCCAAAATGTCCTATCAATTTATGATGGAGAAGAACTATTGAGAAAGTACACAAAGTCATCGTACTTGAGGAAGCCTACCTTCATTACAAAGGTAGATTATAGCTTCCTTTTTTCATTCTTTAGTGTAACATCAACAACATATAACATTTTCAGATGGCATGGGTTTTGTTCTTTCCGTTGTACTTCGTTGGCATGTTCCACAATTACAATATCATAGAAGTTCCTTTGGCTATGGAGCATATAGAAGCTGACGGTCGATCATCCTCAAAGCTTGTATTCCAGCTTCAGGATCGTTTTGCGCAGGTCCCTACCTTTTTTAAACACTTGACACCAATCAACCCCGTATACTGCATTACTATTCTGTGTCAAGGGGTTGTTCTGTTTTCCATGCTCTGTCAAGATACAAATTTTTTTATGTTTGGTTATGTGTCAAGAGGGGTTTTTAAGGATATAGTTTCCTTGCTTTGCTTAATTGTTGCTGCATGGCGAGTAAGTTTGTCTTTCAACTTGCGATTGCAAATAGAATTCTACATCAGTACTAGATAAATCCGACCATGCATTTGTTTAGCGCATTAACATTGAACGCCACAAGGATGTTTTCAGTATTCTCGCCCGCGTAAATGGCTGGCTTTTTTTGTTCTTGTCGTTGTACTCCATAAGCAGCACTTAGGCGTTACGACAGTCCCGTGCATCAAGTTTTTTAACACTAGTTGACGAAGGGGCGAAGCTCGACAATACATAGTTGGAGTGGCAGTTTTTTTTCCAATTTTCAAAGCAAAGATCCCTCGTCGGACAACAGAGCTGCATTGGATTTTAGAATCACTGGGGCTGTAATAGGCAAGAAATTGTAGCTTGGACAGAGTTGTTGCGGGAAACGCGAAACTTGCCGTCGAGAAAAATTTTCACTATTTTTTAGAACAATGTCGCTATTATCAGCTCAAGAATCGGGTAGGACGAGATTTTAGGTTGCTTTAGATTTTGGAAGGAGTTTTGCTTCGACTAAATCGAGGACTTCGTCAAAGATCCCAATTTTGCACCGCCGCGCTTGCGCCAAAAGGTGTCGGTCAAATTGGAGGAATCCGTTTCTCTTATCCTTCTCCTAACCACATCCCTTTTCTGTGAACAATTGGGGTGCTGTAGATTGATCCCTACTATAAAAAAGTAACCAAAATTGTCATTCAATGGTTGTGAATGCCTCCTCTGAATAGCCGCTTTTTTCTCGTTTGTTTATGTATACTCAAGTGTTGCCTACTTGCTTTAGCTTCACTAACCAGGAAAGGCATTCAACTTCCCATGGAACTTTGAGATGAGACCCAGATATATCGATAGAGCTTCAAACGCTGATTACAAATATGGAAACTAAAACTGCAAAATGAACCTGCCAAGGAAGTTGTGAGCAGTCAAAGTTGGCTGGAAGTAAAGCATACACTAGCCTCCGGGCTTTCATAGTCACCGCGGAGCAGTGGTGGTGCCCTCGCTATTCACCCTGGAGGTCATAAGCTCTCCTCCCGTCAGAGCGCAAATTCCGAGAGCACTACCACTACTCCACGACGACTTTGAAAGCCCAAAGGCTAGTGTAATGCTTTACCTCCAGCCAACTTTGACTGCTCACAACTTCCTTGGCAGGTTCATTTTGCAGTTTTAGTTTCCATGTTTTGTAATCAGCGTTTGAAGCTCTATCGATATATCTGGGTCTCATCTCAAAGTTCCATGGGAAGTTGAATGCCTTTCCTGGTAAGTGGTGGTTCACTCTTGCCTACGATGAATTTCTTACATTTCGGACGTTCAGATTGACAACGCTGTTCTCGTAATCGATGCTCGTTTCGGGATTATACGACATTTGTTATATAATTGGCCTCTTACTACATCTTCCATTCTTTTTGTGTCATCACTCTTGGGTAAGGAATTCCAACACTTCTTTTTTTCTGTTCTGTATGGCTGACTTTCTGAAATTTTTGGTGCGATGCAGCGGCGTTTTAGTTCCCACTTCTTCATATTCATTATTGCGCAAATTTTATTTAGTTCATCAGTTTTTTTTTATAAAAATTATGGCGCTAATGGCTGTTTTCGTGTATTGTTTTCAGCATGCTGTTTCTTGATAGTTGTGTACTGGGGTACGAGAAGTTTAGTTGTGCTCTCGAGAGCCTCTGAAGGAAGTCGTGAGCACGACGTGGTCTCAGCAAAACTTACGTCATGGTGCCTTCAAGCAAGTGTGTTTCAGATTCTGAAAATGTGAGCTTACACGTTCTAATTTGTTTCGTTTTTTTTCCATGAGCTTTTGATAAAGAATGAGTCGTGGCACAAAAGTTCAGAACTTCTTTTGAGTAAATTCTAGAATTTAGAATTTTTCTACAATCTTCTCAAGGCCGATGTCAGACTTTGCGATCGCGCGATTCGCTTTGACGTTCGCTGTCGCGTTGCGTACCGCCAATTGAGTGATCACTGGCGCATAGCCGAATCGCGCGAATTCGCAAATTTCTGAATGGCCTAACCATTGGACGACAGCAGCGCTGTGGTTTGGGTTTCGCACCGCAGTGACCAGAGGAGTTTTGCAGCGGCCAGCCGCCGACATTGACATATGAATTTAGAGCTGTATGAATACGCGAATTAGTTGACGATGAAGTGTCTGTCGGGAGTTACAGTAATGGAACTTCGACCGAAATCACGTAGCAAGACCATGAAAAGGCAATTCACTCACCCTTTAGTTCCAAAATTATTTTGGACGTGGTTGTTGTAGTAAAAACACATGTCTTTCTATACGTGGTTTGGATTCGCTTCTGTTGTTCCTTTTTATCAACATGTTTTTGTTGATGAAAAGTAAACGAGGAATGAACTGAGCAGACATACATATCCGTAAGGTCTGGAAAACCTCTGGAGCCATGTGGTTTTTCAAGTATGCTAATGTATGGCCTATAGAATGAGTACAAAGACCTTAGGAATAAGTCACGTCGCGCAAGTGCAAGAGAAAGGGATAAGTGGTAGGACGCGTTATCGCGTCACGCTGTCGTCAACGTGTTAAGGAGCTCTCTTTGTGTTGTATTTCATTCAATTATTCTTCAGGCACCTGCAGATGAATATCTCCCAGATAATGTGGATGAAGTGCCTTCTTCTTTGGATTTCACTGATATTCCGGGTTGGAGAATACAATCATCGTTGAAGGATGTGTCCCACATGGAGCGGTCATTTATCATGGGTAGTGTTCAAAGGAGGAAATGAGCCGCAGTGTTTTATCATATTCTAGCTAGTCGTGATGAGATTGATCTTTTTTCACAATTCCCTTATGTCACGATATCGTATTGAGCTCCTATTATTCTCTTCATTCCCAAATCATATCCAGAGCCTTGTGCAGACGTTTCGGTGAAAACAGTGCCTTCTAGTTTGTTTGCAAAAGTATTAAATATTTGTATATTGTGAATAGTTGCATAAAGATTCGACTACATTCTGCTTTATGTTGGAGCCGTTTTGCTACGGTTTATATTTGAATTTGTCATACACTACCATTTATTCCTTTTAATTGTTCCTTGGCACCATTCCTTTGTTATTTCCTCAGAAGAAGGAAATATTTTGTTGGAATCTTCGTCTATAGAGGTTATGGTAAGGAGATTTAAAACTAAAACACCTACAATATGTAACTAGTACCCTTTCAGACAAATGATACTGCTTGACTCCAAGATCCTTCCCATTTAAGATTTTTTTTGTGATAGGATTGAGCCATTTGACTATAATCCTGAGGCGGTGCGTAGCGTTTGTCCTCCTGGGGTCAGGTCATCCAAAACTGTACGCCGTTCATTCGCTCAGAGCAAGCTTAGGACTAGGCCTAGGGCCCAATCATAGGCTTAGGCATAAGCCAATGTGTAAGCATAAGCCTCAACCTAAGTCTAAACCCAAACTTAACCTTTAGCTTCAATGATCGCGCAACTGTGGTGACCTGACCCCAGGAGGAGAAACGCACGTCTCCCCAACGACACCAAATGGTGTCAGCGTTAGAATGATGTATCGCTTTCATGGACACAAAGTAACCTTTATTTTCAATTTGATCTCAAATTTGAGAAGAATAATCATGGATCATTCTATCGCAAAAGGCGGCCTGCTTCAGAAATCAGTTTACTTTTTTTACGAGGACCTAAATAACCCATAGCCAAAGTTCCAGTGAAATATTTGTCTGAGTTTTTGGGCAGTAATCGTGGAATGGTGACGAGTTTTTGTGCCTTGTATAACAATCCTCATATAAAGCGCAGCTGTAAGTTCACCGCTGATGTTGGGCGTTTCTTTGTTCGGGGGTCTTCCTTTATGAAATTGTCGTATTCGCGATGGCGATGGCGACATAGGTTATCCAACAGTGACGTAGTTTCTGAGTGCAGCGAAATGCCTTGGCAATGCTTTTCATTGCCGCGTTCTTCAACTGAAGTATTTTGGTACTTCTACTTGCTTACTTCGTGGAAGTTGAAGTAAACTGTTTCATGTTACGAATTCAGCATTAGGAAACTATGAACGTCACCGATTACTTCTTTCTGCCATGTTGTATCGGGGTTGAGTGATCACGCACGCTTAAAGCCACGGGTCGGGTGTAGGTATCAAAATCTAATCCCTTTAGGATGAGTAAGAGCGGTTTCCGCAGGAGGCGCGACCCTGTCACGACTCAAAGTCGAGGAATGGCGCATAGGACTTGAACTGGGCGCTGGTGTGCTGCTGTCCATGTCAGGCGAGGCATGCATGGCTTCTTCGCCCTTTCGCGTGTGACGTGCTTTTTTCTTCTCCTCGCGAGCGCTGTCTTTCCTCGACCATACTACTACCCACGTCAAAAGGAAATTTGTTTTCTATAACATTTTACTTCCTTCCTTCTCACTGACGCTCCTCATTGCACTTCTCTGATTTTTGAACAAATAACGCACCAATTCGATTTCGACCCCTGCCTTCAAATTGTCTTGCTCACTCAATTGCACTGCCAAACTTCCTCAAAGAGGGAGAGATAAACCTACAGTCTGTTCTAGCTTAGATCGGTTTTGTATAATATTTTCTTGTTTTATTCTGTAGGTGGTCACCAGTGAATACAGATGTGGGCATGATCTCGTTGCGTCCCTTGATCACTCAGCGAGCAGAATAACACACGTGACATGTATACATCAGTGGAATAGTTTTTAGATGCTGTAATGTGCGCCTCGGAGCTCACAAGGTGTCAATGGTGTCCCCAGGTCCGTTGCTCGGAGACGCTACCTCACTTCCATCTTTGTGTCATGGATTTTGTGGTCGCTACAAGTTACCTGCTGGAAACGATAGTGGAACGGAAACAATCTGGTCAGAGTGTGGTGTGAGTATCAAATTCAGTTTTCGTCTCTAAAATCTTTTACTTCATACATTTTTTACTTTGATTCTTGTTATTACATAAGTAGGCTAAAAGAACTGGCCATTGTCTTTTAGCGATGTGACTGCACATTTGTGTGATTAGTCGCCGAAAAAATTGTACGGCAACGCAGGCCATCTTGGCCTTCTATTCTTATGTGTTTGTTTACTTATACTTCTTTTTGAGAGCGAGAGAGAGAGATGAGGACGTGACTGAACGATTATATTAGGCTGTGAAGCGTTCCGACATTTCTGATTATGAATTTCAAAAACATGAATCTCGGCCCAAACGAAGCATTCTCAGTTGATAACCATTAGGTTTACAAGCCTCTGTCATGGGATAGTTTATTACCTTGGTATGGTTGTTGAGAATGCTCAAGCCTTGGAAGCAATGAAGTCGGCGAACGTCGTTTCGCAACCGTGTTGAGATTCGTGGAATTTCTCTCTAAAGAAAGAACCCTAGGTCACATTGTTATAACTGCTGTCGATAATGAATTGTGGATGCGAGCTGACTGAAAATGGAAAAATTCAAATTGCTGATAAAGTCGTTAACAAATATTCCCTGTCCTCTTTAAAGTGAGGCTTCCCCATTTCAAGGAGGATGGGAGGGAATACCTGTTAATTGTACGGAGCAGAGCCGAACGAACTGTGCTAACTGTTTGCGCCATGGCTCCTCTACATGCATATTTGAATTAGCCGCTACGCCTCAATCCACGTCGCGTGTTATGGGGTGCTTGAAGTATCTCCTCCGTAAGTTTACACTAGTCTCCATCGTGTTACTGTGGGGCCCTAACGTCATTGTCGGGCACTTTCGAGCCGCGACAACGGCCCATCTCTCATCTTCTCGTGGGTTCCTGTTCCACCCACGGAGTAGACTCTCTGACATGAGACACTGGAGTTGTTGCTTTGGGAGCTATCTAGGTTACCGAAAAGTTACACTGTTCAGGCAAGGGCCCTTTTTGAATAAAGTAGCCCAGTTGGTTCAACTTGTGCAGGTTTGTTTAGGCGTTTGTGTTCGACCCTCCTGCCAGGGATTAGTCGGTACCTTTTAATGAGGAATACTGGGTAAATGTGTCGTGATTTTTGGTGTATTTTGACTCATTTTCCACAGTGCCAGTCCACTGTAGCAGTTTCACTTTGTTCCGGAGAGCTAGGCCAGCCGTTGATCCTGTGAAATCATAACCCCGTTGAGAATTTGCAACATATGAAATATTTTATAAATGCACTTAACTATATTAGATAATGAAGTCCTCATGATAACCATTTCCTAGTAACACTCTTATGAACTCTGTTAGTTTATCAGTAAATGTGTCAAATGAACAAAACGGAACAAGTGTTAGCTATTATTCTGAGTGTTTCAGTGTATATAACGGAGCCTTTATTATTTATGGAGATATTTGTGTCATTATGTGGAAATCTAACAACCTTGGAATCAACTACAGTTTTCCATGTTCTGGTTCGAAAAAGAAATTCAATTTGTTCCCCATCATTTCAGCCATGCAAGTGGGGTAATGGTGCGGTAGATCATCGAGTCTGTTCTCCATGTCAGTCAGAACTGTCTCCATATGATTGGCTTTTCCTGCTCTTTATGGCTATACTTCCACTCCTCGTGCACTGCTTCTGTGTGCATTGGCACACACCCAAAAATACGTGAGCAACTTTTTTGTTTCAGTTCAATCCCATTTTGTATTTTTTCAAACAGCTTCTTGATTCCATGAAATACCGTCTACGGACAACATGAAAATGGTCCTTTTAATAAGTCAATATGCTGCCCTTGTATGCGCCCTTTCGAACAATAGCTTCCGACTGTAACGACAACGCGGCGACCGCTCTCCCCACCC